GCGGGGGAGCTGTAGCCAGACCGGCCCTTAAGGACTTAAGGACTTGACCACAGGTGGTGGGATTATGGTTATGTCGCCGCGACATGGTCACAGCTGCAATATGAGCAACTGCGACCTCCGCCGCCAGCTCAGCGAATTATGTAGAGCTCCCAATCCAGCAGCATTGAGGGGTGAAGGCATAGAACATTGATTAACTATGCACGGACGCACGATCAGCTCAAAACAGCAGCTGGCCTCGCACGCGACGATCAGGCATGCCACAGAGCGATGGAGATTGCCGCTGGCACGTCCGTTTGACGGCATGCTGAACTGGCATTGCATTCATCAGGATGTTTGGTTCAGGATCACTTCATGAGCTCGAACCAGACGTCAATGAACCCTTCATATTCGATCGTATCCACTTAAGCACAGGGATGCCATAAGCAGCTGTTCATTAAGTATCAAACCGATGCCGAGTGCTTTTTGTAAGCGTTTGTGCCTTTTCAAGAGACATTCGAATGTTTTCAAATATCTGAACGCTCCTTTTGGCACTATAGTAATCGCCGAATCCGAATGTGAGGACGCCGGACGTACGTGAGGAACATTACGAGTTCGCATGCTCAGCTCTAGTTAGCACAACGTAGTGAACTATCCGACACGAGACGACTTGCGACAGAAAGAAGCGCGAGGCCAGCGCGGAAAAATATATGCATCAACGGCATCACCAATTTTCCACTGAATTAATTCAAAAATGATACTTCGGCGAGCCCGATCTTTCTTCTGGCGACCCGTGCAGTGCTCCACCGCGTGTCCACGCCGCGCGGCTAGCAGGAGTACGCGATGAGTGAGGCAACTATCCAGACTGGACAGCCCGCACTCCGGTGCCGCAAGCGCACTCACCCCGGCGGCAGGAACTTCTCGGCCAGCGCGCGCTGCAGCTTGCGGTTGGCCTCGCTGTACTCCAGGATCTGGTCCTCCACGACGTACCGGTCCCAGCCGGAGTTCCAGCCCTGGCGGTGGGGCGTCTCAGAGAGTGGATTCACGCCTCCGACGGCTAACGCCGAACTCCCGAGGTGGAGCGCAGGGAAGTGATGACAACTGTCTGGTACAGCAAGGCCAATGGACCATTGGCAGCATCATGACAACATCAATATCACATAAGGTGTGCATTACAACGCACTGTTTTATTCGTGCGGCATCTTAACTGAGCCAAACGGAACGGGACGTTCGCTTACCTGGAAATGAACGAGGCACTCCACCGATCGCCGTCCATTTCTGTCCCTCCTTTCAACAACTTCCAGAACCTGGAAAAGCTCTTTTATAATTGCAACAGCATCATCTAAATAGTCGCTTTGTACAAAAGAGAGGATGCACACATTACTAATGCAGGCACCCCTGCTCAAGAGACCCTGCCCTTCCGTCTTGATCGTTAGTCAGAGACAGGCACGATATCCACGGGACATTTGATATTGATCGTCATTTAAACTTGCAGGCTCTTGATGCTTTACCTTCACATAATTAACAACAGAAATCTGATGATGATGATGATTCGGGCTTTCGGGCGCACCGACTACGTTGGTAACAACATAAATCTAAGAGCACCTTTGTGTATGCAGTAAAAAAGCACAACAGAATAGCAATCCACATGCAGCCAACACTGCAGAGCTGACAAATCAGCAAAACAAGTTTTTTAATGGGACCAGGATTGACAGGGCTGACAGTTACATTTGATGAACACATGGCAAATACCAACATGTGAATGCATGCAAATTTGGCCAAGGCCCATCATCATAACATCAGCCAACACACCTTCGCTTCGTAGAGCACTTGCGCTTTGGTGGTGTCCGGCTCATAGCAGAGCACGCGGTCGCCGTCTGCGAAGCGCGGCTGGCCGCGCGTGTGCACCATGGCGCCCGGAGGCGCCCGCCGGCGACGGCCACGGGTTCCGATCAACCCAGCCCGACTCTACACCGACAGCCGCAGTTGGCAGGACCAGAAGGTCCCAGCCTGGCTTGTCACCTGGCAACACCAGTACTTTGAACAACACACATTTACATGAGCATTGCATCTGGAGATGGCTGCGTACTGTTTTTGTTATTTTCAAACAGACCAGTGATGACGCATTAAATAAAGAATGTGCTTTCCAAACTAAAAATGGCGTACATAGCATTGCTTCATGAAACAACTCACTAGTAACATTTGATTTGCCCTTACAACTACATGTTAAGTCAGCCATTTCCTGCCCTGTCATGTTTGTAGCAGTTTCCTTATCACATATTACACAACCCTTATGGGATGCCCATAACTTACATTACTGATAGAGGCAGAGGTGGCTGTGATGGAGTGTAAACCAATGGGGCACATAGGGGAGTGGATATTGGGCATAATGACAAAACATCCAGTGTGTTTTAAAGATTTTATCCCAACCTCTTGAATGAATGGACTTCTGGGATCAGAGCTTAACTAAGCAGTGTTTGTTGTGTGAGCCCTGACACCTACCATCTGATCACTTAATCCCACACCAACCACATAACTGGGTGGTGAAAGGTTTAACATGCCACAATGTTTGGCACCACTGGTCCTGCCATCTGCTCTGATCACATGACATTTCCTGTGGCCACTGTGACCATACCTGTCAGGACAAATACCAAGCTACTAAACAGGCTCAAACCCACCATGTCGCAGTCAAGTTTATTGGAAGGCAGGAGCTCTGATCAGGTGAGCCACCAGGGTGGTAAAAGTTCTGTTGGGGATTTTCCTAACATCTTTCATAAATATTTGAAAACTTGAAGCTGGACATCATTGGCTTACTACCACATCAAGGAGCATGACTGCTTCCATTTGTGATTTGCCCCACTAGCTGAATTACAGGTCAGGCAACATTTTGGGGGATGCTATGTTTGACACAGCATAGGAAAATCAAGGTAGGAAGTTGAAAATTTCCCAACATCCAAAGGCAATTTAAAGGAGGGCTGAAACATACCACTGATGACAGCTCTCAATGGCAAATATAAGTAGCCCACAGGCCACCAACACCCATCAGTAATAACAATACCAGTGTTGTTGCATTCATATTCCCTGCCTTCTGAGGCAAAACCCTGTATCTATTCATATGTGCAAGCTTGTCATGCATGATCCGCATCCTTAGTAAAGAATGTCACAAGCACAATCTATCTTGATGGATGCCACAACTGCAAAATAAAACTAATAATGGAACTGCACAACAAACAGCAGAATTATAACATAGGACTGACTGATTGTGTGTGATTGGGGTCTTATGACACACTCAGCTGCTGAGACTATATGGCATCACCTGCCTCTCACCCTGGCAGGAAGGGTGGGCATCATGGGGAATCAAACCCAGTACCTCTGGTGTCCCAGATGTGCAGTGGTTAACAGAGACGTGGTAACGTCTGTGTTAACCAGGGTGCCCGTAGTGTAGTGGTTAACACAGACGTGTTAACCACTACACAAATGGCACCCTGGACTGACTGATTGATTAGCTGCTAATGATCACTTGTAAAATGTGAGTCACATGAGTCTCCACATTACTGACTTTATCATGTTAGTTGTTCTTATCTCTCTTAGCAACTCATAGGTTACTTTACCAATCATAATACTGACAGTCTGTACAAAAGCATCCTCAAGTATATTATATACCCTATGAGGGTTAGGTTAGGTCTTGATGGGTTAACAGGTGACTATAACAGAAGCTAAAGGTGAGGGTTAAGTGTTCAGAGCACTGTAACAGCAAGTTACAGCTTGTGCATCATATATACTTGTCTGCAATCAATGGTAAACATGCAGTTAGATATTTGGAGCAGATATAATCCTGCAACAAATGGGGTAGTAAATTGCAATATTTACAGCTGATTCTGTGTCATATAGAACACCAACACATAATGATGCTTGCCATAGCACACTCAATAGTTTCTGGATACAATTTTTATAAGGTGCCCAAACTTGAAAATGTACCCCATCTCTACCCCAACAAAATATTGTTAAAATCTGGCATGGTTGCCGATATGCATATGCAAAATCCCCTATAGTTAGCAAGGCATTTTGCAAACTACTGCATGTATGCCTGCATTACAAAACTTTCAATGTCAGCTTATCCTGAACAAATAAAATACTACCACTTCTGTGACTTCATGAGTACCTAATATAATGCCTGATATACAACCATTATGGCTCAAATGCTGTCACATATGCATCAACCACAGTGACAATGCCAATATAAGAGCTTCAGGAATTTACTTAACCTGATGCCCTAGATAAAAAACACCCAGCAAAAATAAAAATAGATTGGGAGAGCTGGAGTATGCCCAGGGCAGCACAGCAGGAGGACAGAGAGGCTGGAGGAATGTTTATGTCATCCCATATTTACCACATATGATCAGATCACCGCACCAACATTTGCTCACGCACGAGCCACTGGCTTACGCGCTTTGCAAAACGTAAATAAACAAGCGTCAATGTGTGACCCTAAAATACTGCATAGTCTGTGTCACGTCTAACTTATTGCAAATCTCGTCCCATCTAGAAAGTTTACATTGCTTTGAAGCGAATGCATCATGTGAGTGACAATAGAATGTATTGGAAAACTTGTAGACATAGCGCTTTGTATTAATAAGTAGAAGCTGACACCGTTTATCTCATTTCTAATGATTCAAAACAGGAGTCACATATCATCGTATGCAGCAGTTTCAGGGATTTCACATATTTCAACAAAGCAAAAAACATTCATATAGCAGCTCATTTACCACACTAAACAACAACAAATATGTGATTCTTTTCTTATTAGATTTGGAAAGCTTATCACATCTAGAGGCTTTCTAAAAAACGGGCAAGAGCTCCAAGTCAATTGACTTCAGCAGTCCTTTAACGCCCAACGGGGGTAGGGCGGATGAGAAACCTAGATGACGAAAACAATGTTTAAAGAGTTTGTGATATTTGGAAGAAAGTAAATTGCAAAAAATTGTGTCAGAAAACATAATTATTCATCATTTATATTGATACTTTTCTCCATATTTTAAAAACAATTTTCAAGCGAAGTTAACTACACGACTGCTTTTGTATCATCACTACAATCGGCCTTTTCCGCGTCAAGATCGTAAAGGTGTGTTGGGGGGTAGCAAGTTACTGTATTTACTGTTTTTATTCTGAGGTTACCGAGTAGTTCATCTTAATTCGATGATTATATGCGTGGGATGATACTTTGGTTAGGTTGACAATTTCTTTGAATCTTTTGTTTGGCTCAGGCTTTGTTAAAGTCGTATTGACCGCCGTGCAGTCCCTGCCTTTACACCTTTTGTGTTGGAAACTTCATACGATATTCTCAGCGATGTTGAAGCACATTGACCCTATCAAGCGGTTAGGAAAGGCCTCGATCAGTCTCTGACATTGGCAGCATGGTACGGCTGTAATTCCAAATTGTGGGATCCACTAAACGTGTGGTGATTGTTTATTTTGCCACCACAACCCACAAGACATTTGGAACATGTATTTTGCACCCAGGGCAATATGAAAACCACCACGAAATTGAGTCTGAGGTCCTATTACCTGCACACCTTTACAGTACTTGCCAAAGTTTTGGAAACAGGGTTATCGGTCTTCTTATGGCCATAATATATCAGTCAGTATCAGGAAAACAGAGGTATTGAATCATCTTACCATACAGTTCTAAAATGTCATTTGGCATGTTGGTCCCAGTGTTGTCAGGCTCTGGGTCTGGTGATACCACAGTTGGAAGTATGGAAAGGTTCGGCGTGGGTTGTCATATGATGTCATCAAGCCTGAACTTGAACTGTTAGACTGAGTTAGGTGATATGGCCAGATGTGGAAAAGCATTCCAGTTGTTGACACCCCACATGATAAGAAGTTTGCTGAATTAGTCATGGCCAGGCATCCTAGCTGACACCTCCATGAAACAGCTGATTATTGCTGTAGCTATGTTTTCTCTGGGAGGAGGAAGAGGACTGCAGTACAGCCAGGGTGACTGGAGAAGTCATGAATTTGCACATCAACCTTTGGCCTATGATCCATAAAGATGCCCAGGTCCTTCTGGGTGGGCTTGACAGCTTCATCCAAGAGGAAGGTCATTCTTCAGTTGCAGTTCTGAATATGCACCACCCTTCACTTTGCTGCACTAAAGGCAAGCAGCCACTCTTTCGACCAGTTGGCCAGGGTGTCAAGGTCAACTTGTAGAGACGGGTCAGTTGGGCCTTGGACACAACAGTGGATCTTGGTGTTATCCATGAGTATTTTGACCATGGTGTCATCAGTGAGTATCTTGACCATGCCTCACACTTGATCTTGTAGGCTGTTCACAAAGATTACAAATAGCACAGGTCCCAGCACTGATCATTGTGGGGTACTGCTGGTGTTCAGTCTGACTTCAAGCACTGCACCTGCATTCGCCGCATTGGGAGGATAAGGAAAGCCCTAATCTGGTGCAGCAAGTTCCGGCACTGTAAGCATGGAGCTTGGACAGTAATGAGACACAGAATCAAAGGCTTTGCTAGAGTCTGGGAATGCCACATCCACATCCATCTCCACGCTCTACTGTGGTGCTCCAATGTTCCACAACTTCTAGTAGCTGGGTGATACAGGACTGCTCTGGGAGAAACCCATGCTGGGCTGCATGGAGAAGTCCAGACTCGAGAATTTATCAATTAGGGCATCCGTGATGAAAGATTCAAGTATCTTGGTAGGGATGGCAGTAAGACTCACTGGACCATAGCTTGCTGGGGAGCATCAGTTACCTTGCCCTGAAAATGGAGACTACCTCACCAAGCTTCCACTCTTGGAGTGGGGTGCCTTGTGGTTGCCAACAATTTTCTGAAAAGCATGCTGAGAGGCATTGCCAGGATGTGTACAGACTCAGGAAGCCTTGGGTGGACATTTGTCTGGCCCAGGGGTGCTTGAGGTCTTCATTGCAGCCAATTTCTGCTTGGGCAGAGATGTCCACAGTCATCCAGAAATGGTCCAGTAAGGTTGCAAGGCATCACAAGATGGCACTGGCCACTTTGTGAAAACACTGGAAAATAATTTATAAAGTGCATTGGGTTTTTCTTCATTGCTGCTAGTCAACACTCCACCATCATTCTTCTACTCTGCATTTTGTGCTTAGTCCTGAGTTGGTGCACCCTGAAAAGGCCTTGAGGCTTATTTTGAGGTCTGCTACTATTTTCATGTCATACTCTTTTACCCTTGAAAGTATTTTAAGAGTTAATATAATAAGAGTGTTCAGTGTCCATCACAGGCCCCCTGTTAAGGTAACAAGAAGTAGGGATAAAATTAATTTGAGTTAAGATAAATTTGTGGTAAATTGTTCATGTGATTAGGACTGTGACATGTGTTAATACAGTCCTCAGGAGAAAAGAAGTCAAAAATTGTGCATTGTCATTGTGCGTGCAGTTCAGTTCCTGTAGTTGTTGCTGTCAGTTGTAAATGTTCAGTTATACATTTCAGTAGCGATTGTGTAGTTAAGCATTCATTCTAGGTTGTATTTTTTGCTATCAGGTGGCCAACATGAACTTGTCAGCAACCAGTTTGTATGAGTGTAATTCTGGGACTAGTAGGATGAAACTAACAGCCACATTTTTTGTGATTACAACACATACTTTGTTGAATGGCGTGGCTCAAAACATGGGACAGTTTAAGAGTGCAGGGATGATTACTGATTACTGTCCTGGTGTGATGGTTGATGAAAGAGTGGGTGCCATTGGGGAACTTCATAGTATAGTGACAGGATTTTAGTGCACTATTTTGAACAAAGCATGCTATGAAATATTGCTATCCAGTGATCCATGAAAAGAGATAAGTAAGAAGCTTTGTGTTCTCAGACCTGTGGGGTTCCACAGTCACTGATCAGTCTGCATATAAATGTTATTTAGTTGTGTATTGCAACTGCTGTTTTCCAAGGGAATGATGTCATTATTACCTAAAATGTTATCATGCCATGGATGTGTAACTGATGGCCCCTTTTCACTTTCCAGATGGCCAAAACAAAGGACAGAAAGGAGAAGTCCAAGTCCACCATGTCGGAGGTGGTCACTCGTGACTACACGATCCACCTCCACAAGCGGCTCCACCGTGTTGGTTCCAAGAAGAAGGCGCCGCGTGCGCTGAAGGAGATCCGCAAATTTGCGATGCAGCAGATGGGCACACAAGACGTCCGCATTGATTACCGGCTCAACGAGCAGGTCTGGTCACGCGGCATCCGGTGAGTGCAGGCGACAGGCATTCTACCTGGGGGCGTGCAGCGACCTATGTTTGTTGAAAAGCAATCCAGGTGTTGGTTTGCTGCATCTCATACTGCATGATGCTGTGTTGTCCAAGATATTAGTTCAGGTCATGGAAGGTATGGTCACACTAGCTGGTGGGCTTTTCCTGACATGTGGCGCAGTGAGTTTGGGATTAACCAATGGCAGCATACCCTACTGTCATAGCGCACATGTCTCCGAGCAAGGGGAGTCCTGATTTCACCAATGGTGCCTCGCGATCTGAGTGTGGCCATCGACGATCACGTGCTCTGATACTGGGAGGCACTAACCTCTTATTCTTATGCGAGTTGGCGGATGCTCTTTTCTGGTTGACTTGCGTGCAAACTGCATATTGCATCTGCATACAAAATCAATAACAATGGTCAAGGCAATGGCATGGATGCATGATCTTGTCTACCAAAAACTATGGTGATGCAAACGCGTGAAAATGCATCGGCATGATGATGTCACTAATATAACTGTGCTGCTCAGCTTACTTTCTGGGAAGAAGTTTCCCAATGTTTTGAAAGGTTGAAAGGCTTCCCAAATTCTGGTTGTACCTCCTCGAGCAGCGAGGGGGCTGATGACTTGACTTTAAAGTGAAGTAGTGTGGTGAAAGCTGTGCACATGGATGTGTTAAGGGGGGTGCTCCACAGTTGTGTGCGGTTTTGAACTGAAAGAGACATTTTGAAGGTCATTCAGTTTAGCTCACAGCCCTGCCCTTGTTAAAATCTTAACCCCTATTGTTTCTGAACTATACCCGCGAAGATGTGCATACTATTCCGAGTTCTCCAGGCATCCGCGACTTCGTAATGTCGTTCAAATTCTGCCACTTTTTCAGCCATACCGCGATCATGGTCAAGAAAATTGTAATTGCCTAGTGATTCATACCTGGTGTCGCGTGCACAGTTCCAGATATAGCGGCCGTCAGTTGGCTCGCAATCAGTGTTGTGCAAGGTTCGATGACGTGATCAGACAACGTCATATTGAGAAGCATATGTACTTAACAGAGAAATTGTGTTGTTTAAAGCAGTCTTTGCTGCCTAGAAATACACCAACAGCTATAAATGAGTATATCTGATACTTGCTTCAATATCTTCAAATGTGGAGCGTTCTGTTAAGGAACGTTGCGGCGCTGATGCTCGACTGTAATCTCCATTGACCAGCGTAGTTCCCCAACTGGCGCGGCCGCGCAGCCGGCGCCGTGCCTGTGTCGAAATGCGCTCCGCAGCCTGAGCGGACGTGCCGGGCAGGTGGCTGGCTGACCGGCGACAGCAGAGCCGGGCTCCGACAGAGGCCGGCCGGCAGCCGCTTGTTTTCAATTTGTGTTAGCGGCACGTGCGCCGCTTGCCGATGGTGCGCCGGCGGCCGCCGCTGCTCGGCTCCGCCGGGAGTGGTGGCGTCGTCGGGCCGGGTGCCTCCTGTTGACGGCCGACGGCGCCAGGGGAGGGCGCAGCTGCCCTGTGCGCCGTATATATGCGTGTTCAGCGTCATGCCGTCTGATAGAGGGCGAACTCGGCCAGGCAGCTGAAGCCGGTTAGCGCGTTCGCGGTGCTCGTAACCCCGCCGCCTACGTGGTCACACGGATTATCGCACAGCGTGTTCTCGTTAGACGCGTCCTTGGCACGCGTTACGTTTCGTGGTACCGCGGCCAATGGCAAGTCTTTGGTCCGCCACACCTGGGTCGATAAACACGAAACACGCATTCGGTCCCCTTTCTCCTCACTATTGATGTTTTTTTCGTTTTTGCAAGCTTTCTGATGAAAAACATCCCTTACGATGCAGTAATTACCTCTGCCAGGTTAAGCTGTTAGCCGGCCAGACGATGCTTAGAGCAATGTCGTTGGGCACTGTGACACAGGTTTTCCGCTCACATCGATATCATATTGTCGTTGACTCTGATACTCCCTCCATTTCGTTAGTCTTCAGCATGTAACCTCCTGCCAACAAATATCGCTGCGCTATATTCTTGCCAGTGGAGACAACCACGCTTGCAAATACTGAGGTCTTTGGTGTCGCCACATTCCGCCTGTTAGGTGTACTGCAGCGCAAGGCTGGAAATTGAAGAAAAAAAATGTTGTAGCGGAGTACGACATTTTTTAATGCTGTGAGTTATTACACTGTTAAGCTTATTAGGAGGTAGCAGTACAATGGGCGTTACTCAACAGAAGGGTCGCATCCTATGTACGGCAAGGCATGTAAAAGTACTCCAAATGAAATAAAACATCAGTACCATGACACACTGAAACAACACAGTCTCAGACACTAACATGAAACACGTGGACATATTCATATGAATGGACAATCTGTGGAAAGGCTTACCATGCCGTGGATCCAGGCAATTTTTTTCTCCTAAAAAATTGCTTTAAATAATCAGCCCAAAGGTGCCAACAAGCCGTCCCCTGAAGGACCTAGTATCGCAAAATAAGTTTGGGCTGGCGGGGGGGGGGAGGGGGGCTTAAATGACACACGACTGAATGCCAACGAATGTGCGTATCGCAAAATAAGTTTGGGGCCGGACGGGGGGGGGGAGAGGGGCTTAAATGGCACACGACTGAATGCCAACGAATGTGCCACAGACAGCCACCTGCTTACGCTCCGCCATGATCGCACTGCTCACGCCCCACCTCTTAATGCCACATCTGCCTGGCTTTGGAAACGGCAAAAGCACAGCGGAACCCTCGTGTCCCCACCTTCCAACTAACGGACACCGCACGAGACCCCGCACGTCCCAGCCGAGCAATAGGGATGGGCAGCGTTCTCAATTGATTTACCGAGATATGGCAAGTACAATGCCTGACAAGTACAATGTCGGCCAAAAGGGATCAGAGTCGGTCACTCCGTTGGCTCCGGTGAGTGATGCCAAGGTTATAATGGATTAAGGCGCGCTTTAAGCGACAAAATTGCGAAATATGATAATTTGTATTTCAATTCATTGACGTTTTCGTCCTGTTAAATGCCTTCATTAATTTGGCAAGTCAAAGTAATCGGTGCGTGTCTTTCCGTTCTGTTGTTTTTGCAACGGTGAGATGGCTATCTTCGAACAGTTGTCTGGCTATTTATAGCAACGTTTTTCGACGCAGAGGTTTTCTGTAAGGCCTGAATCGCCATATTTAATTTCTTACCTTCAGATGGCAAACTTAACGCTATTTAGTTGGCCCGCTGCCTCTACATTGTTGTACCCTGCATACCAACAACTGGCCGGAAATCCAACCACAGGCGGTTCTGGACAAGTACAAACAAGTCCTTAATAGTCGTGATGTCCATGTATATACAGCTTCCTTTGTAAAGTTTCCAAATCTGTTCAAGACATAAGCGCGAACATAGCAAGACATTTGCGCTTTTGACAAATCAGCCACGAGTAGGCGAAACTTTTCAACCAACTGGATAATTTTGCGATGTCCAGCTTCCAACCTGAACTGGGAGGTGGACGCAGCGTACCGAATAGTTGAGACGCTTCTGGCGCTGAACTGCGGATGATTCTCCCACTTGCATTGCCATAATACCGCGGTGGAGCGTAAGTGACCGTCTGTGTTCGGTTACTGGGGGTGCAGTTTGTCACCATTCTGGCATGTTTGGCAATGGGTGCGGTTCGTCGTTCGTGATGGATTAAATTATGTTAAATTTTGAGTTGGTCTGCGTAGGGCGTAGGAAGTGAGAGCTTTGCTAATTTGCAGACCGATGCAGTTCCGTTTCTCGTTTCTCAGTTCCCGGCATTTTTTAAAGATGTTTCGATTCAATAAACAGGCACGTTGTCTTCCATATTTTCATGCATAATTTGTCGTACAGTTAGGTCACAACACACGCTGCTAAGTACTGGCATCCATGTCTGGTAGGTGCAGGATTTGTGCTCTTGCGGATACCGATACATGGCTCATGACGGAAGCGACAACTCCTGAACTGTCGCCCCTTTTGGTTTCATGTTGTCCTGAAACAGAGAGGGAAAATAAGTTCTTCCAAAATCTGTTTTTGTTGTGTCACAGCGGAGTACAAAATATTTCATTCTACCCGGTCACAATCCAGGAAACCAGGAGGAAGCGGCGATTTTTCCAACATCGCTATAGCGGGACTCAGGCAGGCATGGCATAGACAGGCGTGGCATGGCGGGGCATGGCAGGCAGGCATGGACTCAGGCACCGCAGGCATGTTAACCTGAAACCGAACGCGTCAATTACACGTCCGCCTTTGCTGCCGCTGCGGCGATGATACGCCGCGAGCCCGATGTCTGCACAAACACGGTCATTTGTCGGGGGAAGAGTGTGGCTTCGACGTTCGTTACGTGGCGCGTTTATTTTGGCTGACCGCGAGGCTGTCACTGACGTGTTCTCTGTGCACAGGTCTGTCGCCAAGCGGATCCGTGTGCGGCTCGCGAGGAAGAGGAACGAGGACGAGGACTCTCCCCACAAGCTGTACACCCTGGTCACCTTCGTGCCCGTGCCCACGTTCAAGGGCCTATCCACGGAGAATGTTGAGACCAGCGACAGTTAAATCGTGATGAATACACAACGGATTGGAGCGATGTTTCCGTGTTGCACGTTCTTCAGATCGAGCAGAACTTTGATTGGTGGGACTTAAACGATGACACCCGCTGATAGCCGTTATAAGACATCGTGAGCCAAGCGATGAGGCGCCGGGTCGGCCATCAGCGTCGGATGCACGCACACGTGTGGCGGCTGCCTTGCGATCACACCTCACGCATGGGCGTCCATGTGGGGTGACGTCCGTCTCCAGTCCGTGCCAGCATCGTACACAACGTACACAACGGCAGGGCGGCCGCGCGGCAGCCAGTCCGAACGCAGGAGCCGCGCGCTGGTGGTGCCGTTCGTGGGACGTCCGTCGGCGCGGCGCCAGCGCACGACTGCCGCGAGCAGAGCGGCGCTGACGGCAGAGGGCGGCGGGAGCCCGAGCGCTGAACAGCTTCGGAAGTGTTCGCGAGCTCGTTGAAGACAGTCATGACCACTGCGGGCCGGTGGCCCACATTACTGCGGGGGAGGGACGGGTGCGGTCTGTATCGGTAAAATGTAGCGGCAAGATTAAATAAGTTAACAGCGATAGACGCGTCATACGAAGGGTGCTGCTGGTACGCGTAAACATGCCACATCGCTCATGTTCTTGGTGGTGACAGCGAATGGGTGGGCTTGTGCGGCGGGAGATTTTAAGCTGGGGGGCCCAACTCGCTTTTCTTAACGTTTTCTGAAATGCTCGTGCAACCACCAGTTACGTCGCACAGGTTTTTAGTAACAGATGTGACTCAAGAACTTCGGTGCGTGGGTGTGCAGCCGGTCGCGTCCGCTTTAGCTCAAACCGCACATTCGCTTGTTGGACGTTTGTGAGCATCGGTATCAGATTTCGTCCACTGGAGCACGCGAGGACGTGGAACCAGCTGTGTAACTAAGGCGAAGCATTTTCTGTGAGTTGAATGGATCCTTTCTCTTCCATGACAGGCAAGCCAGCGAGCGGGAGTCGATCGTGGTCACTTCAAAGCCCATTCGCTGGGGCCTCGTCAATGTACTCGTGCACGTACACTGCATTCATCAACTCTGTGGAAGTACCAAGCCCGGGGCCGCCTGATAGCAACCTGTGCTAGTAACATCAACTTTGGACAGGTCCAGTGACACTATTTTTAAGCCATGCTACCTGAGTGCTGGGGCGCGTGCGCATTGGGGTCTCACGACACAACCAGCTGGTTATGGTGCACGACGTCGCCTGTCGCCTGTCTCATGGGACACCAACTCAATCTACCTTGGTGGAAATTGTTTCATGAGGCAATCAACCAGCCTTAAAGCTTTGCTAAAGGTTTCAGCAAGATGTGAGCCTGAAGGCATCCTAAACGTTGCACTAAATATGTTAGGACCTATGCTCAAAAGTAACTGATTAATTATATTTTACCTAGCATGCTCCAACATACTACCTTCCACCAAATTTACGCCACCTGGCGAACGCCCACAAAAGTTCTTAAAGCTTGCGCATACGAGCACTCCTAAGCTTACCATTCTAAGTTAACTCGACAAGGATCAAATGAAATCCCCCCTCTCCAGAGGTTTTTCCGAAACAATTTCCGAACGCTGCGGCGCAGCCGCGCCAAATTTTGCATGGTTGACAATTTGATACGGGATCGTTTGGCATCAAACATTTTGATGCACGTTCTGAGGTTTCTGGCCAACGGTACGTCAAAGTCAGGCCATGGATTCAGCGAAGTCAGTGTCTAGGGAATCGTTCAATCTGATGCAACAACGGAGTGCTAGACGAAGCCATACACCTCTGAGATGCTTTCTTAGGCAATACAACGATTAAATGAACAACTTCCATTGACCTAGGGTCGGGTAACAAGGTAATACCAAGGTCAAGGCCAACTTGTTTTCTTTCCTTATGGGTTGCTGCATGCGATAGTTTCTGGTGCTCATTACGAATTTTTGATAACAGGAGCCTCATTATAAATCCTCCGTGGATTTAGCTAAGGTCAAAATATGTCACTGACCCAAAATGACCCAGGTCAACATTCTGTTTTTTAGGAGTATACTGCCTAGCCCAGTCTGTAGCTCATTCAATTGCAAAATTCAAAGCAGTCTCGTATTATCGCGGTCACCGTGACCTTCAAAAGGCCAAACAAGGTTACCGACCTCAGGTGAGCATCAGTGATGCTTTGCTTAGAACAGGCATCAACGCTCCAGGGGCAATTTGGAGACCAACCCGGAGTTTGGTATCGTCTGACCTTATTTAACCTGAAGGACATGACCTAGGAACTTCAAACCTTGACCTAAGTGAGGGCACGTGCAGGTTAACACACCCTGTACATTTGGTGTCTAGCTCGTTTAGTCCCTGAGATTTCAGAAGGGTCAAATTGACCCCCTACCCGAGCAAAGTGTATCCAACCGGCCACCCGGGCGCGTGTAAACGTTTTTTTTTTCTAGAGAATTTTCAACTATGCATAGGCGTAGACACGTTGCAAAAAGTGGGGCCGGCAAGCTCACGGCGTACTCCAGGATCTTTATCTGGAAAGCAAGCCCGATAACTGGGGGAAGGGCGGTTGGGATGGAGGTTGTTAAAGCTCTTTACCATTTATTTCAATGTCATGGCTGCTATGCCATACATGCATTTAGAGCTGTTTCCCACTGGTGCACAATCTTGTCAATTCGACTCACGTATGTCATTCGGCAAATTAGGCCATCCAGCTTTACAAAATTATTGATCTTTTTCAACATCGTCTTTCCTCGGGAGGCGAAATCCCAGGAGCGGTTGGGTATTTTGGGTCATTAAGGAGGCATCTACCTAAACAGGGCAGGCGCCAAAATACGGCCTGGACATAAGGTGGTGAAAATTTTGAAAGTAAATCGATGGCTCATAGTGCGACAGATGTCTCATGCACCTTCATTTCGCTGGCTGCTTTTTAAGAGATAAAACGTGTCACAGCCTTTTAGGCGGAAACAAGGTCGGAAGTTGGAACTGCCAAAAACAATGTGACCAAAGCCTGGAAGTTCTTCTTTACAAACCAAGCCACAGAATGAACGCCCTTCTGCCATATTATCCTTATCAGGACCCTGCTCCCGTCCGCCGTCGGCGGCCACTGCCCTGGCCCGGCTGTCTCCCGCATGACTGACTGCGAACTGATCATATGGCTGCTTTGTTGCATATTTCTGGATGGGCATTATTACTAATTATTGTGTAAAACAGATGTTGGACGCCTGCAACAATATTTTTCCCGAATTATATTCCCTTACACCACGCCACCGTACAAAAACCTCCGGGAAGCTACGTGCCTTATGTATGAATTGATCTAGCGGGTATGTGGTTGCCCATCATTCAACACGGGCGACTTGATCTACTTTTGTGGCGCAGGCAGGGGTGTAGAAAGAGCCTTGCCAAGGGGAACACAGAGCTGACAAAACCCCTCTCATGGTGACTACCTCCTCCCCCAACAAAAATCCTCGGATATAGCTTACTTGTCAACAAGGAACTCAGTTTTCTTCGTTTTATTGTTATTTACCCTGTAACCAAAACAAATAAACAGAAGCTACCGTGAGATCAATTCTGTTTGTGTTTTGAAGTCAATAAACTGCAGAGATCAGACGTCGAACGACTGTATGGATTAAATTACCGGTGCCCTTAATTTACAATGGTTAAGTAGAATCTTTCTAAACCGATAGAATTCAGGAGCTTCGTCAGATTCTTATCTAATTTCTGCAAACATTAAGGACATCGCAAAGGTAACTTGTATCTTGATGTTTGATCGAAATTTTAAAATGAAAATTGGACTGTATGTCGACTGGTCAACGATGTGTATGAACATGATTAAGCCATATTTGTTTGGAAATGCTCAACAATGAGTCAAAATCGATTAGTGATACACTTTATATGACGTGATTTTTAACATGCGCGCTCGCAAATCTTGGCAGGAAAAAGACTCGACATCCAACGTTGCAGCTCCACAGTCCGCCGAGCGTTGGCCCAGCGGTGAACTTTTAGCCGTGGCCCATGGGTGGACGGAAATGATGATTATTCTGAAACAATTAACTTTTCAACACTCAAATCGACTCATGACACCAGTTATGTGACGTTATGTTGAGCATGCGCATTGCGCACATGCGCAGTAACACAAAATCGATTCCATGCATTGCAGTCTCTGTAGGCCGCGCAGCGTCGGCTTAGCAGCTAATACTGAGTTGTGGCCAACGGGTGGACGAAAATGATGACCCTTCTGACAGAGGAACCTTTGAACGCTTTAGGACATTCAATCTTACTTTTAGAAGGCAGCCTGTGCGCATATTTCACGCTTGCGATTTTTAGACTGATGATAAGGACGGATTGGTCCTGAAAGCACCTCGAAATGGTGCTGGAATCTGGTGGTGGAACTGAAAGGGTAGAAGTAGAATCTCTATCTTTCGTATTTCTGTAACTATTCATCTGTCCAGAAGATAGATTAGCATGGCCACCGCCGTCTGGTGGCACCTGCGGTGGCCGACGCTGTTCGGTTTTACGGAGGCTGCAAACCAGGCCATCGCCGTTCTGGCTCTCAAGGTTGCGGACGGACATGTTCAAACTTTTGTTGTGATTTGTCTCATTAATTCATTCTGAAAAATGATCGTTCTCAGGTAAACATGGGATGACCTCGCTTGTCTTTTCTTACTCATTTTGATGCGCTCTATTCAACAATAATGAGACCCCCACCCTACTCAACAATAAGGAGATCCCTTATTTCCGCCCGGGCAAGCAGCCCCTTTAAGTAAAGCACCAGGGGCACATTACCGTTTCCGATCAAGGCCTAAAGGGTCATTCCGTTCCATTGCGAAGCATCTTCTGTCGGTCATTCTGGCGACACGGGACGTGATGTCCTGGTCGATCCGGAGGTCACCAGAAGGATATATCGTACCACATCGTTCCCCTCCCTGACGCGAGAGGCCCTCTCACCCGCGCAGTTGGCCCCGTGTCAGCACGGGGACGCTCATTGACACAGTAACATCCCTGATCGTCGCAGGTGGTCCAATAACTGTCACATAGACTCCAGTTCCATGTTTTTCTGCGCC